ACGAGGAGTTTCGGAAGTTGACCAAACAGTTGGAAGAGCGCATCAAGGATCTACAGGATGAGATACGGCAACTTAATCGTCTGGTGCGTCCCTGTTGTAACTAACTACTACTTTCTCTAATGACATGATTGCAGGAGCTCCCGGAATTATTAAAATAAACTTCAGTAATTGAGCAAATAAGGCATGTTTGCATTAGTGGTCAGCAGAAAAGAATAGCTGCAAAACGCTAAATTTAGTGGAAAAAATTTCAGACTGTTTCGATAGACGACATGTTCTTTTTCTTGGTTTTCTCTCTATTCAGATTCTTCCTCCTTTTAGTCTTTATTCCTTTGTAGATCTCACGAATTTCAACTAATAAGTAAGCGACTATAAGCGAAGTATAATTGTTGCCAAGTTCCGTTTTCCAGTCGAATACAATGGCGGGTACAAATCTTAAACCTCAAGGTAGTTAAGGAAGCATATTGAAGGTTCGCTTTCAAGTGGGACACGCAAGGGGACTTAAATGTTATTTCAATAGAGGCTCATTGAGAGTTAGTATTGAAAATAACCGCTAAATTGCAAATTTTCAGTAGCTCGAAGTTCGGCCAATCCAACCATTTCCTTATTTATTTGAACCAATGGGAATTGTCTAATATTCTTATTGGGCAGTAGGCAGCCTTTACTGAACCGGTAGGAATTTATCTTGGCCAATTTTATTCTCTCCTGCTGATTTTTACATTTATATTTAGCCCACTAAACACTTGCAAGCGGCTTTAATGTATTTTCTCCTGTTGGGTTTTTACGCATTAAACGCGTATTACCTACTACTTAAGCAAACATTAAACTTCTAACCCCGATTTCCGTAAGAAACGTGGGCAGGGCAGTTTTACAATTTTGGCGTCCCCACAATGAACCTCTACCGTCCTTTCCTTGTTACCCTTATCGTTCTTGGCCCATGACTAATATTCACACGAATTTGTTTTGGCACTTGAAAAGAACAGAAACTTGTGCAATATAAATTGTTTAGGTCATACTGTTTTTGATGGGTTTAGTCGTTGTATAAGGAAATTGGACAAGGAGGATTTATATAGGCTCCTAAACAGGGAATAGGAACGCTTCTCGCAAGCAATAACGGTGTTTCTACGCCTAATTCCAGCCATACCCATACCAACAGTCCGCACATAAACCCAACGTAGCTTTACATTTCTCCCTAAACGCGAAACCTTTAGTTAACACAAACCCAAACCTTAAGTCTATACATAATCCAGACCCTGGCACAAGTCGTAATTACAAACCTTGTTCTAAAATTAACGGTAACCATAACCTTTATCCTAAGTCTTATTTCATTGGAATGGTGTGCAAATCAACCTCTGTTGTGGGCGGTTCCTGTTCTCATGTCCTACTTCAAGGGTAATATAAGTCAGTAAAAGACGGGTAATCACTGAAAACAAAGATTTTTACTACTAATAAATAAGTAGACAGTTATGCAAAGTAAACAAGAGCATGCTGCTGCTTGTAGTAGATTGGTAACACTAAGACTATGCGATAGCGCCTAAAGAACTGCAGTCCGCTAAGTAAGAGTTTCGAGGATTTTGCCGAAAGCGGCATACCAAGTTTTTTACCGGAGGTCGGGGATTATTTGCTGCATACTTTCTCACGCCCCAGATATGTGGAGACAATGGACAGTTACCTGACGGCAGTGCGGACCGCCTCACCTGCCCCTCGGCCTGCGGTGGAACGAGCTGCGATCCGGTCATCGCAGAGGTCCTCGGCATCACCACTGAGACTGACCCCTCCACCTCCCCCGTCCCATCACCTCTGCAGTCCTTCGGCGTGATCTCGCGGTGTGCTTCTGCCCGTGGTTGTGACCAGAGTACGGAAGCTCGCATAAAGGACTTGTTGACAGAAAATCTGGCCCTACAGAACCAGTTGGGCACGGTTCTGCAAAGCGCCACTCGTGTCTCCTCGTTGGTTTCTGGGGTATGGTTTTTTCTTCATTCCGGATTGTTTTATATTGTAATTATAATTATCATCGTGGTAATATACCGCCAAGAGAGGTGAATATGTGAGTTTCAAGAAGCAGTTAAGAAGAAGGAGATGTGACTACTGGAACAGAAGCTTTATTGTCCTGACGTTTCGGATTCCATCGGGAATCCTTGATCATAGGTAATGGTACAATAGTCTGAGTCATGCGCAGATTGGGGTGAAACATGCACAGATTGCACGGTATGTATAGTTCGTAGCGTTGATCGGCGTGCGTACTGTATTTATCCAATCTGTTAGTCACGCCTGGGTGTTAATTGGTGCGGTGATGGCTTGACACTTCGCGTTCGACTCGTTAATTGCCGCGATTTCCTCGTCCGTGTCAGAAGCGGGCTTGCTAATGGCCCGACAGTTATGCTCACTGTCGTCAGAATTGTTGTTGGGTGCGGCCCTTCCCACCTTTCCCTACTGTGTACTGAGACATTGCCTGAGCAAAAGAATCAGTCACGTGGGAAGGGCCTGGCCCAACAAAAATTCTGACGAGAGCGAGCATAATTATGGCACAATTATCAAGCCCGCATCCGACACGGACAAGGAAATCGCGGCCATAAATGAGTCGAAGGCGAATTGCCAAGCCATCACCGCACCAAGTACTACCCAAGCGGTGACTACAGGAGTCGATAATTACAGTACGCATGCGAATGGCCGCTACGAACGGTACATACCGTGCAATATGTGCACCTTTAACCATTATCTGCGCATGACTCAGACCATTGTACCATGACCTATGATTAAGGATTCCCGATGGAATCCGAAACTTCAGGACAATAAAACTCTTGTTCTAGTAGTTGCATCTCCTTATTCTGAATTTTGATAAACCGTTGGCAGAGCTTAACATTTCATCCTCCCAGCTCGACTTTGAAAATAAACTCATAGCGACCTTTTCTTTAACATGCTTGTTCGGGCAACGAAGGTGGTTCCTGTGTCACTGCCAGCCTTTGTTTATTAAAACAGCAACAGGTGTGGGCATTTATGTTCAAGCTATCCGGCGCCAGTTTGGTTATGCTTACAATCCATGTGGTCGCAGTTTACTACCAGAGGATGATCAACGATGGTCTGGCCGGCAATCACGGATGTGTCCACTCAAATCATGACGAACTCCCGTTTTTAATAGCCCATTAGGAGGACATGCGAAGCCCGCGTCACTACCTACAGACTAAAATGACAGAATGGTTGTCCGAGGGATTCCGCAGCCCAAGCATTCAAGAGGGTTGATAGTATGGAACAGAAGTTCCCCTCGGCGTAATGCAACACTTCTAATACAAGAAAGATATGTGCGAAGTTTTTATGCTCAGCATGGCATGTAGACGCTATCAGCCAAAACCGTCATCGGTTTTTTTACCGGTTGTTCCAGTGGGTTGCCACTAAATAATACGACCAAATAGATTGCTCTTGTTAGAGGGGAAAAGCCTCTTTCCGAAGCCGATAACTTTCAGTAATGGTCTAATGGTTAGAGCGTTGGGCGTCTAATTTACACGTCGCGGTTCCGAGTCTCGGGTGCCACACAATCTAGGTTTGGCTGATGACGGCTAATAAGTCAAACAATTTCATTCCAGTGGTCTTGTTCTTTGTCGATAATGTTCTGCCTTCTATACAAAACACTTTGCGGCTGCTAGCAGAGTTCGTCATTGAACCCGAGGCAGAAGACACCGAGTGAGTTCTATAACCGATCGCTGAGTACCCTTGCCCAAACGTGGAATCTGAAAAAATTAAGTCACAGCACATTGACCTGAAAATCAGATAAAACCGCGGTTTATCAGGCAGCTATCTCCTGGATTTCGTGGATGTGAAGGTGGACATCCTGATCTGCTTCCCAGCTTAACCACAAAAACGCACATCCTCAGTGTCCAAGAGCTTTCCGCAAATCCGGTGAGGCGCCGGGTAGCATTCGTCTTGGAGCACCGCAACATTTGGCAATCCTAGTGAAGACATCAGTGTCCACTAGCGCCAGGTGATAATATCGTAGTTTTATTTGTACTACTCGAGAGCCTGGTTATTTCAACCTTTCACTGTCCACCGCCTGTCAGCAAGTCAAATGACCCACATCCAAACGAAACGGCGTTTTCCAGAGGTGCCTGCGCCATAATATCATGACAGCAAACACACTAGAAATGGATCAAAGTGACACTGTGCTGCTACTCGCCAATTTTTCCTCATTAGTATCTGC